TTACAGAGGCTTCCCGGAGAAGCTGGTATCCGAGCCAACTCATGAAGGGTTCTGAGTCAACGGTTAATCAGAAAGACTGAGAATAAGCATCCCAGGTGCTGTACCACTTTGTCACAACATATGTGGGACTGACAAGTAGTTCAGATTGATGGAGACAAGTAGTGTAAGGCAAGTGGTAACCTTAAAAATAATAATTGGAATATCCTAGGACTGTAGGTGATTTTTATTTTCTTTCTTATTTTTCTGTCTCTTCCAAGATTTTTCTTTAACAAAATCACACACTTATGTAGACAAATAATTGCCAACATTTATATAGCACTTACTCTATGCCAAACACTACTCTAAGCACTCTGCATACATTAAGTGATTTTATCCACATAACTCTATGAAATAGCTACTATTATTTTCCTTTATACAGATGAGGAGGGGAGGCAAAGAGAGGTTAAACAACCTGGCAAAGTCAGAGTAAGGAAAAGAGTAGTGTTTCTTAACTTCAGGCATCTTATTCTAGAGTTTCTGCTTTTACATCTTCTATGTTCCTAACACTTTCTAAGTCAGAAGCCTATTTTCTTACAATTTACTCCCATAGTCCCAAGTCTAAAAGTTGACCTAGCAAATAAATGAAATACAGCCAAATATTAGGGGAAGGATATTCACAGCCCCCAAATTTATAGTAGCATAAAATAAAACAAAAAATCACCTAAATATCCTATCATACAGAACAATTAATGATGGTTTAGACAATTACACAAGTATTGAAAATTATGATTTAGAAGACAGTCAAATGACATGGGAAATGCTTACTATAAAGATCAAAGAGAAATAAATGTAAGATACAAAGGGTATAATCCTAGTAGTATGTTTGTGTATGTTCAGAAAGAAGAATCACCAGTCAGACTGAGTTCCAATTCCAATCTTAGCTCTGCCACCTTTTAGCTTTCTGATCTTCAGTAATAATTTAACCTCTCTGTAACCCAGTTTCCTCATCACAAAGTGGGGGTAATACAGTTGTTATACTGGTTAGAAAATTTATATATATATATATATATATATATATATAATGCTTAAAATTCTGACTGGCAAACATTCAGTGTCAGCTATCAAAACTTTGGAAACCCTATTTAAAATTGGAACTAGATAGTACACATTCACGGGCTTCCCTGGTGGCTCAGATGGTAAAAAATCTGCTTGCAATGCAGGAGACCCGGGTTTGATCCCTGGGTTGGGAAGATCCCCTGGAGGAGGACATAGCAACCCACTCCAGTATTCTTGCCTGGAGAATCCCCTGGACAGAGGAGCCTGGCTGGCTACAGTCTATGGGGTAGCAAAGAGTTGGACACAACTGAGCGATTAAGCCCAGCACAGCACAGTACACATTCACACAGACAGCTGGTAGCTTTGTAGTTTGTTGTCCAATAGGTTACAACTTTATCTAGTTATTTTTCCCCTATTTTTAAAAATAATTGGAAGTTGAGTGATGTGAGGGAAAATTTGCATTGCAAGTAAAAAGTATTTGCTTTCAGATTCTGCTTTATCAAATTATAATGAAATATATGAGGTATTTCATATATGAAATATATGAAATATTCAACCAATCACCAAAGGGTTATGAAAATTTCTTTTCTAACCAGATACCTTCCCAAGGCCCAGAACACTGATATTTTATTTTGGCTGAATATTCCTGAATTGTGATAGCTTAAAAACATTTAACTTCAACATAATAAAAGCTGTATATGACAAACCGACAGCTAATATCATACTCGATGGTGAAAAGCTGAAAACATTTCCTCTAAGATCAAGAACAAGACAAGGATGCCCAGTCTCACTTTATTTAACAGTATTTTACAATAACTACAAATGGAGTTGTTGTTCAGTCGCGTCCAATTCTTTGCCACCCCACGAACTGCAGCACCCCAGGCTTCTCTCTCCTTTATTATTTCATCGAGTTTGCTCAAACTCATGTCCATTGAATTGGTGATGCCATCCAACCATCTCATCCTCTGTCATCCCCTTCTCCTGCTCTCAATCTTTCCCAGCATCCGGGTCTTTCCCAATGAGTCAGATCTTTGCATCAGGTGGCCAAATACTGGACATTCAGCTTCAGCATCAGTCCTTACAATGAATATTCAGGGTTGACTTCCTTTAGGATTGACTGGTTTGATCTCCTGGCTGTCCAAGGGACTCTCAAGAGTCTTTTCCAGCACCATAGCTCAAAAACATCAATTCTTCAGCGCTCATCCTTTATGGTCCAACTCTCACATCCATACATGACTACCGGAAAGACCACAGCTTTGACTATCGGGACATTTGTCAGCAAAGTGACATCTCTGCTTGTTAATATGCTGTCTAGGTTTGTCATAGCTTTCCTTCCAAGGAGCAAGTGACTTAATTTCATGGCTGCAGTCACCATCTACAGTGATTTTGGAGCCCACAAAAATAAAATCTGCCACTGATACCATTTTTTCCCTTTCTATTTGCCATGAAGTGATAGGGCCGGATGCCATCATCTTAATTTTTTGCATGCTGCGTTTTAAGCCAGTTTTTTCACCTTCACCCTTATCAACAGGCTCTTTAGTTCCTTTTCAATTTTTGCCTTTAGAGTGGTATTATCTGCAGCATCTGAAGTTGCTGATATTTCTCACAGCAATCTTGATTTCAGCTTGTGATTCATCCAACCTGGCATTTCACATGATGTACTCTGCATAGAAGTTAAATAAAAAAGATGACAATATATAGCCTTGACATACTCTTTCCCCAATTTTGAACCAATCCATTGTTCCATGTCTAGTTCTAGCTGTTGCTTCTTGACCTGCATACAGGTTTCTTAGGATACAGGTAAGACAGTCTCATATTTCTATCTCTTTAAGAATTGTCAACAGTTTGTTGTGATCCACAGTTAAAGGTTTTAGCATAGACAATGAAGCGCAAGTAGATGTTTTCCTGGAATTCTCTTGCTTTCTCTATGATCCAACAGATGTTGGCAATTTGATCTCTAATTCCTCTGCAGTTTCTAAATCCAGCTTGTACATCTGGAATTTCTCAGTTTGCGTAATGCTGAAGCCTAGCTTGACAGATTTTTTATCATTATCTTGCTGGAAGGTGAAATGAGTGCAATTGTATGGTAGCTTGAGCATTCTTTGACATTGCCCTTCTTAGGGATTGGAATGAAAACTGGCCTTTTCCAGTCCTGTGACCACTGCTGAGTTTTCCAAATTTGCTGACATATTGAGTGCAGCACTTTGACAGCATCATCTTTCAGGATTTGAAACAGCTCAGCTGGAATTCCATCACCTCCACTAGCTTTGTTCTCAGTGATGCTTCTTAAGGCCCACTTGACTTCACACTCCAGGATGTCTGGCTCGAGGTGAATGACCACACCATTGTGGTTATCTGGGTCCTGAAGACCTTTTTTGTATAGTTCATTTCTGTGTATTCTTGCCACCTCTTTCTTAGTCTCTTCTGATTCTGTTAGGTCCTTGCCATTTCTGTCCTTTATTGTGCCCATCCTTGAATGAAATATTTCCTTGATATTTCCAATTTTCTTGATGAGATCTCTAATCTTTCCCATTCTACTGCTTTCTTCTATTTCTTTGCATTCTTCACTTACAAAGGTCTTCTTATCTCTACTTGCTATTCTCTGGAACTCTGCATTCAGTTGGGTATATCTTTCCCTTTCTCCTTTGCCTTTCACTTCTCTTCTTTTCTCAGCTATTTGTAAGACCTCCTCAAATTTGCCTTTTTGCATTTCTTTTTCTTTGTGATTGTTCACTGCCTGCTACACAATGTTATGAACCTCTATCCATATTTCTTCAGGCACTCTGCCCACCAGATCTAATCTCATGAATCTATTCATTACGTCCACTGTATAATCATAAGGGATTTGCTTTAGGTCATACCTGAATGGCCTAGTGACTTTCCCTACTTTCTTCAATTTAAACCTGAATTTGGCAATAAGGAGTTCATGATCTGAGCCACAGTCAGCTTCAGCTCTTTTTGCTGACTGCATAGATTTTCTCCATCTTCAGCTACAAAGAATATAATCAATCTGATTTCAGAATTGACCATCTGGTGATGTCCATGTGTATAGTGGTCTGTTGGGTTTTTGGAAAAGGGGGGTTTGCTATGACCAGTATGTTCTCTTGAGAAAACTTTGTAGGCCTTTGCCCTGCTTCATTTTATATTGCAAGGCCAAATTTGCCTGTTACTCCAGGTATTTCTTGACTTCCTGCTTTTGCATTCCATTCTCCTATGATGAAAAGGACATATTTTTTTGTTGTTCTTATTCTAGAAAGTCTTGTAGGTCTTCATAGAACTGTTCAACTTCAGCTTCTTTGGCATCAGTGGTTGAGGCATAGACTTGTATTACTGTGATGTTGAATGGTTTGCCTTGGAAATGAACCAACAGATGGAGCAAAACCTTTAAAAATTGTGAATAACTATACTGTACACCTGTAACCTATATTATCGTACACTTCAACAAAAAAAGAAAAAAAATGTGCTTCCACATCAGTTAGGATCAAAAGTTGAATGGAAATTACAAACTGGTTTTTCAAGGACCCAAGGCCACATATAGTTTATTTCTCATCTGAGTTTTAGAATTATCTTAATGAGTTTTTAAATGTTAAGAAAAATATAAGGAAATGAGCAGCTTCAAGAGTAACCCTGACTCTGTTTTACCTCAAAGTTTTGTTTTTCTTCCTTGTTTTCACAAAGGCAATTCTTGTAGTTATCTTTGGGGATGGTCTCGGGCTACTTGAGCAGGTGGACTATACTGAGAAAGACAGAAGGACCTGGGGCGGGGGTTGGAGAGGGGGCTGTAATTCTCACTGCTCTGCTCAGAATCTGCAAAGTGGGATGGAAAATGCTTAAGTATTTTCTTAAGGAAAATCTAGAAAATAATCCTTGCTGAAGAGAACTGAGGTTTGTCTGCTGCTCACACCATAAGGAACCTGGTTTCGCCACCAGTTTTCAAGGAGCTTCTCTCTCTCCCTTTCTCTCAGGTCTCCTACGTAAAAGCGATTGACATCTGGATGGCGGTGTGCCTTCTGTTTGTGTTTGCAGCCTTACTGGAATATGCAGCAGTGAACTTTGTCTCCAGGCAGCACAAGGAGTTTCTGAGGCTCCGGAGAAGACAGAAGAGGCAAAATAAGGTACCGTTGACTCTGAGCGCAGACAAAGTCAGGCAGAGTTCGAGGTGTTTAACCAGTCAATGTAATTTAGAAAACAGAACAACACATAGTGAGCAAGAAGCTGAAGTTAATTTTTGTCCTGATTCATCCTACTGTATTGAATTACTGCTCAGGTTGGTCCTTTAACATTGGGACAGATTTGTCACATTTAACAAAGAAAATTCATCAAGAGATGAATGGATAAAACAGATGTGGTATACATATACAATGGAATATTACTCAGCCTTAAAAAGAATGGAATAATGCCATTTGGAGCAATATGGATGGACCTAGATATTGTCATACTAAGTGACGTAAGTCAGACAGAGAAAGACAAATATCATATGTTAGCACTTATAGGTGGAATCTAAAAAATGATACAGATGAGCTTATTTATAAAACAGAAATAGACTCACAGACAGAAAACAAACTTATGGTTACCAAAGGGCAAAGGGAGAGGAGGGATAAATTAGGAAACTGGGAATAACATGTACACACTACTCGCCATGGAGAACAGTGTGGAGATGTCCTTAAAACCTAGGAATAAAACCACCATATGACCCAGAAATCCCACTACTGGGCATATACTCTGAAAGTGAAAGTGAAGTCGCTCAGTTGTGTCTAACTCTTTGCAATCCCATGGACTGTAGCTCACCAGGCTCCTCCATCCACGGGATTTTCCAGGCAAGAGTACTGGAGTGGGTTGCCACTTCCTTCTCCGGAGGATCTTCCTGACCCAGGGATCAAACCTGGGTCTCCTGCATTATATACCCTGAGAAAACCATAATTCAAAAAGAGACAGGTACCCCAATGTTCACTGAAGCACTATTTACAATAGCTAGGACATGGAAGAAACCTAGATGTCCATCAACAGATGAATGGATAAAGAAGTTATGGTACATATAAATAATGGAATATTACTCAGCCATAAAAAGGAACACATTTGAGTCAGTTCTATTGATCTGGATGAACCTAGAGCCTGTTATACAGAGTGAGAAAAACAAATATCATATATTAACACATTATATTTGGAATCTAGAAAATTGTGCTGATGAATCTATTTGCAGGGCAGGAAGAGAGACACAGACATAGAGAACAGACTGGTGGCCACAACGGGGGAAGGAGAGGGTGGGACAAATTGAGAGAGCAGCACTGAAACATACACATTAGCATATGTAAATTAGATAGCTAGTGGGAAGTTACTTTAAAATACAGGGAACTCAAATTAGTACTCTGTGACAACCTAGAGGGGTAGGATCAGGTTGGGGGTGGGAGGGAGGCTCGCCAGGGAGGGGACATATGTATACTTATGACTGATTCACACTGTCGTATGGCAGAAACCAATACAACATTGTAAAGCAATTATCCTCCAATTAATAATTTTAAAAAATAATAATAATTTTAAGAGGCCAAAAATCATATATATACTACTATATATAAAATAGGTAAATGACAAAGGACCTACTGTATAGCCCAGGGAACTTTACTCAGTATCTTATAATTGATAATGGAAAAGAATCTGAACAAGATTGCATATATATACACACATATATATGACTGAATCTCTTTGCCATACACCTGAAACTAACACAACAATGTAAATTAACTATGCTTCAATTAAAAATATATATAGGGCACACAAGCCTGAATTTCAGATAAATGATAAACAATATTTTGTACAAGTACATCCCAGATGTTGCATGGAACAGACTTATATTACTAAATTATTCCTTGTTTATCTGAAATTAAAATCTAACTGAGAGCCTTGTGTTTTGCTACAGCCTAGAAACTGTAGTGGAGATATATACTCCATCTGACAAAATTACTTTAAAACCTTGTTGTTTTGAACATTAATAATTTGTGTGTCTTTGCGCACAAAACTACTTTGACTTTTTCATGAATTGCTTGGCTTTATGTAAATAAGGTCCCAATCATGTTGATTTCAACCTGATAAGTCCAAATAGACTGATTTCATTGTCTCAACTTACATTTTAATGCAGAAACCCCAAATTTACATTACTTAGAAGTTTGAAGTTGGAAATACATGGCTCAAAATCTCCACTTCAGTGGTTCCCAAACTTGCCTACACATGAGAATAGCTGGAGATCTTTCAAAAATCCCAAACCTTGGTCATACCTCATACCCATTAATCTCAGTCTCAGAATGGGGCACAGGAGTATCTCTGAAGCTCCCCAGGTAATTCCATGTACAGACGCATTTGGGAAGCAGTGGTCTGGTTTATAATTCAAATTCATATAGCACTCCAGAAGCCTTGCACTTGTTTTCAGTTTCAGATTCCAGGAGAGAAACATGCTCTTTGGTATGTAGAACATTAGTGCCTGTAACAATATCACTAGAGAACTGAAGTTCAAGTTTTACACACAGGAGATGAAAGACAGTTTTCAAAATCTCCTCCCCCTAAAAAATGATAAATTGAACCCGCTGGTAAAGTATAGTTATACACTACTCTGTTGGAGCAAAACCAAAAATGCTTCATTGTCAGTTTTAATGCTTCCAAATACCTAGATGTAAACCTGAACATTGTAAGGTATGCTATTTTTTACATTTTTATTTATGAATTTTTGGTTGTGCTAGGTCTTCCTTGCTGCTGAAGGGCTTTCTCTAGATGCACCGAGTGGGGGTTACTCTCTAGTTGCAGTACACGGGATTTTCATTGCAGTAGCTTCTCTAGTGGCAGAGCATGGGCTTCGTTGCCCTGTGGCATGTGGACTCTTCCTGGACCAGGGATCAAACCCATGTCCCCTGCATTGTCAGGCATATTCTTTTTTTTTTTTTTTCATTTATTTTTATTAGTTGGAGGCTAATTACTTTACATCATTGCAGTGGTTTTTGTCATACATTGAAATGAATTAGCCATGGATTTACATGTATTCCCCGTCCCGGTCCCCCCTCCCACCTCCCTCTCCACCCAATCCCTCTGGGTCTTCCCAGTGCACCAGGCCCGAGCACTTGTCTCATGCATCCAACCTGGGCTGGTGATCTGTTTCACCCTAGATAATATACATGTTTCGATGCTATTCTCTTGAAACATCCCACCCTCGCCTTCTCCCACAGAGTCCACAAGTCTGTTCTATACATCTGAGTCTCTTTTTCTCTTTTGCATATAGGGTTATTGTTACCATCTTTCTAAATTCCATATATATGTGTTAGTATACTGTAATGGTCTTTATCTTTCTGGCTTACTTCGCTCTGTATAATGGGCTCCAGTTTCATCCATCTCATTAGAACTGATTCAAATGAATTCTTTTTAATGGCTGAGTAATATTCCATGGTGTATATGTACCACAGCTTCCTCAACCATTCGTCTGCTGATGGGCATCTAGGTTGCTTCCATGTCCTGGCTATTATAAACAGTGCTGCAATGAACATTGGGGTGCACGTGTCTCTTTCAGATCTGGTTTCCTCGGTGTGTATGCCCAGAAGTGGGATTGCTGGGTCATATGGCAGTTCTATTTCCAGCTTTTTAAGAAATCTCCACACTGTTTTCCATAGTGGCTGTACTAATTTGCATTCCCACCAACAGTGTAAGAGGGTTCCCTTTTCTCCACACCCTCTCCAGCATTTATTGCTTGTAGACTTTTGGATAGCAGCCATCCTGACTGGCGTGTAATGGTACCTCATTGTGGTTTTGACTTGCATTTCTCTGATAATGAGTGATGTTGAGCATCATTAATATGTCAGGCATATTCTTAACCACTGGCCCACCAAGGAAGTCTGAACATTGCAATTTAGATGTTGCTTACATTGAGGAGCTTATACGTGTAAAAACTGAGTCATTACATCATGTGTCAAAATGTTTCTTCACATACTCTGGGCTGGTACCCTGTGTGTGCCCTCTTTCTCTCTTTCCCTCATCCCAGGAAACAACACACACAAGTGCATGCCCTTTGCTGCACATTGTTCAGTATCAAGCCTCTCTCAATTTTCACCTCCCTGTTGGTGATAACCATTTCTTGAACCTCTCCCATAGGTGTCTAGCACAAAGTGGCAGAAGTTTGAGGTCGCCACTCAGGAAATATTACTAGAATATAAAGGTATTACAGTTACACAAGCTGTATTCTCAGAATTCCCTGGTTTAGCTTAGTAATTACCCACTGACTGTATGCTCTCCCAGACCAGAAATAGAAAAGGAGCTTCATTTTGCTCCCCAATTCTGAATAACTGGAATACTTTCGTGGAATGCTGTGTGGAGGATTCTTAGGCTGTATCTGTATCTTATCATAAGTCACCCAGAATGCTTGTTAAGAGTAGAGAGAGTGTCACACCCCAAATCTTGTGAAACAGAGTTTGCAGGGAGGTCACTGAGAATTACTACTTTTCACAAGTGTCCCCGTGAGTCCTACGATAAGGTTGTTTGGGGGAAACATGGGCAGTATTAGAATGGGAAAGACAAAAGAGTAGGAAATGAGGTTGGAGGAATGGTAATTTCAAGTTCATATAAGACTTTGTAGACCAGTATGAAAGAACAGATTTTATTCTGATTGGATTAGAATCACTGGCTAGATTCAACATAGCAAATATCAGGATGTTGAGTGGGTAGTTCACGAGAAGCAGATTAGTCAGGAGGCTATTACAGAAATATGGGGACATGTTGCTGGCATAGACTGTGGTACTGGTCATAGAAGTGGTCAGAGTCAAGATTCATTCATTCATTCCAAAAATATTTGATTCATATTGTGTGCCAGGAGCTATATACATCATTAGAATACATAATTGAACAGCACAGACAAATTGCAATTCCATGATGAAACTTACATTCTAATGGTTATCCTTTTGGGATAAAACCAAGAGGTCATGCTGATGCATTTGATGTGGGGAGGTGAGGAAAAGAGAGAAATATGTCTCATATTCTTGGCTTCAACAAATTCATGGGTAGTGTTTATGATGGGGACTATTGCAGACTTGGGGTGGAACTCAGGTCATTTTGATGCCATTAAATTTAGATGCCTGTAAGACATGCC